ACCACATTGCACAGCAGGTCACCTACTTAACAATATAGGTGAGTAGCAAGGAGAAGCCGTGCTGGTTCCCAAAGCACACCCAGCCCCTGGGCATGTGCATCTCACCACGCTGCCACGCGTGTCCCACTGCGCTCTGGTACACAGACAGGCATGTCTCACTGCACTGGGGCACGTGCGTCTCACCACGCTGCCACGCGTGTCCCACTGCGCTCTGGTACGCAGATAGGCACATCTCGCTGCACTGGGGCACGTGCGTCTCACCACGCTCCAGCTGCCACGCGTGTCCCACTGCACTCTGGTACGCAGACAGGCACTCTCACTGCACTTTGGCACGTGAGTGGACACCTCTCCCCACTCTGGTACACAGGGTGAGCACCCCTCTCTGCACGTCAGCCCTCGAGCAGACACATCTCTCTGAGCTCCGGTACACAGGGTGGGCGTGTCTCTCGGCGTATGGATCCACCAGAGGGCACACACACGACACATCAGGTGCACTCTCACTGGCACACAGCACAAACACAACTTCTCAGCTTTCACCACAGTCTTCATCGGATGGCCCTGCACTATGGTTTCCAGCACGAACCTCACGGGTTTGGCAGGGGCGGCAGTTCTCAGAGGAAGGGCTGGGTGTGAAACCAGCACCCCCGGGGTGTTGATTCTGCAGTGTGACTCAGCCACAGGGGTCCCGCTCCCACTGCTGCCCGTGCCTGCTGTCTCCAATGCCAAGGTCCTCACACAACTCGAGGAAGGGGGGACGATGGCTAGCCCTTCACACGCTGAAAGCTCCAACACTCTATTTAAGGCTGGCTCCAGAAGGGTAGGTGGATTCAAGTTACCACAACCCTGTCCTGTCCTAGGGACCCTGATTCACACTGAGCTACAATGAAACACAGAGGACCTGGTCTGTGCTTAAAACAAGCCGACACGTGCAGTGAGCGTGAGCGTCGGTCACCACACCTGCCTCCGGAACAAGACACAGGAACAGCCTCATCGCCCTGCACACGTCCAGACCCCACTGTCCTCCTTGGATGCGACCCTACACGTGACCTTCATCAAGCAACTGGAAAAGTAAGACCTCATCATGTTGACCCAAGTCTAACTCATCAGTTACACCAAGAGGCCACAGCAAGAAACAGCTGACCTTTTCTAGAACCTTCCTCACCTCCAGCACGACTCCTTCAACCCCAAGGAGAACTATACACAAGGAGGGCCTGGACTTCTCCCCAGTGGAGAACCCTCTCTTTCCCAGCGGCCAGCTCCCGTGTGATGAAGGTGGCATTCTGAATCAGTGACATGAACTGCTGAACAGCAATTCTAAAGGGCGTCTCCAACAGCGCAAGACCACCAAGGAAAACTCCGCGAGGGGATGCCAAGGCGTGAGGGGCTCAGAGAGCAGAGCGGGCAAGCACCTCTGTCCTGACGGGGACCCCAGCTCTGGGTGGTCTCCCAAGCCCACTGCTGGGGGCTGGCAGTGATAAGCCACGGTGCCGTGGGGCATGAGTCTCTTGAAGGAGGCGACGTTCTTTTAACCGGGGCCTTGGCGACAGGAACCAGGTGTGTGGGGACAGGAGTGGGAAGGAAACTCACCATGTGCTCCACTGTAACCTCTGAATTTTGCTGAAGCCACGTGCCCGGGTGGATGAAGGAGGGAGTACGCTGCAACACCAGTGTGTTTGCTGCCCTGCTCCCGGGTGGCACTGTCACGGGGTCGCTGTGACTGCATGGACAGGCGCACTCTTCCCCTCTAACGAGAAGGTCTCGGGCGTGTGAGGAGGCTGCCGGGAGGCTCGCACCAGGACTCTTCGGACCAGGAACCCCCCGCTCCTGACCACTGGAGGAATAGCTCCCAGTGCAGAGGCACCTTTGAGAAGAGGCAGTGGGTCGTCTGGGACCAAGGGACTGATGTGGCTCCCAACCCTGTAAATGGGATGGACCCCCATGGGAGGGGCTATTCCCAGACCATCTGGACAGAGACTGGGGAAGGGCTCTCAGCCGCCTGGGCCTCCGGGGGCGCACACACCTCCCACAAGACAAATACCCCGAGGGGTCTGCTCTAACCAGCACTCACCCAACCACCCTCTCGATGAAAAGGTGTCGGAACCTGACACCCTCAAAGCAATTGCTCAAAGGCTATACAGCAGCAAATGGGTTACTAGGTGTCCCAGGTTCTGAGACCCCCTACCCTGTCACCTCCCTCATCGGCGGTGACAGGAAAACAGTGACTCCCTCATCCCCAAGTGGGAAGACAGAGGCAGCCACGTCACTGTGCCCTCAGCTGAGGGTGACAGGAGACCACTTGCAGCCAGAAAGAAGGAACCAGAGGCTGGGCTGCACTGAGCACAAACACACGCGCGCACACACACACACACACACGCACAGCTGAGAGCACAAACAGGCCACCTGCCTCCTCCCAGAAGCTCCGGCCACAGGGCAATTGAGTCCGAAAGAAGGAGCGCACGGGGTTATTGTTTTTTATTTCCAAACCTGGGTGAGGTTGGCCAGGACCAATTCACTTTCCTACCAGGAGTGGATCTGGCTGCTTATGACGTTTTCACATTACTTTCCTACCACAGATGCTCAGAGAAAACAAAGTTGCAATCACAAGCGCGGGATCTGGTATCAAAGAGAGAACAGGATACTCCACCGTATCAGGAACGGAAGAGATGCTGCTCGGGGAAGAGAACTCCCTCAGGGTTCTCACGCGAATCGACGGCCACACGGGGCAGCATCCAGCTCAGCTCCCAGGCGGTGGGGACGCAGGGCAGCCCGGCCCGGCTCCCGGGCGGTGGGCACACGGGGCAGCAGCTGGCCTGGCTCCCAGGAGGTGGGGATGCCGAGATAACAACCAGGGCACAGTCCTGCCCCGTCGCCCCGGACGAGTTCTCTGCAGGTTGGGGTTTCTTGGCTCTCAGGACTGTTGGAAGATGCTGGGGTGGCAGGACAGGGCCAAACCCTGCAGAGCACAACCAGGTGGGCCCAGGCGCGCGCTCACCCCACTGCCACCTCGCTCAGGTTAACGAGCCCAGCGGTCACTTGGTGTGTTTTGAAACACTGTAACCAAATGGCAGCTACACAGAAGACCACCTGTGCTGACAGGCCAGGCAGGGCTCCGACAGGCGGCACAAACCACAGCAGCTCTCTGGAGTAAGTGGGTTCACAGAGACACGGTCATGTCAGGCATCCAACAGCTGCCAGAAGCTCCAGCCGACACTCCACAGACACTGTGTGAAATCCAGTGACACCTCCACGTGAGGAAAAGACGGAGTCCCCTACCACCACTCCTCAGAACACCGCAAACACAGACAGTGTGTGAAATCCAGAGACACCTCCAC